TACGAATGTCCGAAGTGCCGAAGTTCGGTAGTTCAGAAGTACCGAACCGAATGCCATTTGTCTGAATTGCTGAAGCAGACAAATGTTTTTACTTACCCGAATTTCCGAATCGAACCAAATTTCTTGCCCATGCACATCCCTAGCACACACTTTAAGTCCCTCATTGCAAAATTATTTGCAGAAAATGATATTCTAAAAGTATTTTTTGTCCATGTCAGTCTGCCAAAATAACACATTTTGTTTATCCTTGTTTCACAGACAAAAATCTAAAATACAGATTAATGGAATTCATTATGGACGTAGAAGATTAATTTCTTTTATTTGCAGGTAATTAATATATTGCTAAACATATATACAAGAGACTGAGGTACATATACAAAATTTAAACTAAAAAAGATGTGACTTTTGCTGAATTAAAATATTTCCTAACACAGCTGGTTTTGCCTATATTTCTAAATTACATTTTCAGTTCAATACAATTGTGTGTATAGTGAATATAACCTAATTATTTATGACAGTAAAAACTGCTGTAAAAATAAATTAATAAATGTAAAAAATTAAATGAATAACAACACAATGAACAAAAGCAAGAACAAAAAGAAAAAAGCAAACAAAAGTGGCAAAACAGAACCACCATCTAATTCTCAAATTTAGTGCCTCTGGGACAGGACTAGATCACTTATCACTAGGCTGTTCCTCCTCTGACAACCACTTATACATATTACCAAGGTTTCATGTCAGGGTAGCTATGAGACCTTTACTGACACTTATCACCCCTTGCAATCTAATATTGTCTCTTCACATTTTGGATCTCCTGCTCGGTTCAGGCCACTTGAAGGTATGTTTTTATATACCTCGTTATTCTACACTGAGTCAGGGTATTACTCCTCACCTTTAACTGCAATCTTCCCTTCCAACAGTTACAGTTGGCCTCTGGTGGACATTTCTGTGATGCTCTTTCCCCAAACATGAGAACATTCTACAAGGATTTTTTATGATCCTATTCCCATTATTAGCTATTAATTACAAGATACTGGGTACTTTAATTGTACAGGTTTTAATTCCCATTGACTATGTATTGTAAATGATGTTGATTTATATTACTTATGTCAATGCATAGTACTTTTGTGGTAATCTAGTTTTATTTTTTAATATGTCCTTAGTTCTAGGCCTATGGTAGAACCCACTTTTGATTACTCATCTGTATCGGAAACTTCACATACTGGCACATTCAAATGATGCTTAGTTAGTCATACAAAATATTCTGATGGTACCTGGTCCTTAGCCAACTCGTCCACATTTATTCTGGTTCTTTTGCCACATGTTGGCATTGTCAATTTGAACCTGGAACATTACTGCATTTTTTTGCATTTGTACAATAATGAATACATAATTGGCATCTATACACAAACTTATAATTAACAAAACTGGCTACTCAGTCCAGTAGACAACCCACATATATCTATCTCTTAGATATGCTACTGCCCTTTACTGCCTACTGAAACTTAATACTGCCTATTTTAGTGGCTGCCGGAAATACAGTTACTCCTCACTTACCGACTAGGTTCCGTTCCAACGACCCGGTCGTAGAAGGAATTGGTTGGTAAGTGAAGAGTCAAGGGATTCCTTTCTTTGGAGAGTTTGTCTATGTTCAGGCAAATTTCCCTGAACATAGGTTTAATTGATTCCCTGCTCTGGTGCGCATGTCTGTGTTCAGGGACATTTTCCCGAACATAGACGAACACACAAGAGCAGGGAATCCCTCTAATCTATGCCTGGGGAAATTCCCCCGAACATAGAATAGAGGGATTCCCTGCTCTGTTGCGTTCATCTATGTTTGGGGGAAATGTCCCCAAACATAGACAACACAGCAGATCAGGGAATCCCTCTAATTCCCACGACGGCTCGCAATTACCACCCAACGAGAGAGCTGGTCATACGTGTGAGACATCGTAAAACAGGTAGGTCGCAAAACGAGGACCACCTGTAATCTAGAAAGACATTGGAAGTCCTCAGACCCACCTCCAATCCAACCCATATTTGCTGCTCTATAACCCATACATAGGCTTCTAGATTCATATCACAAATTCAAGATGGTTTAGCCCAAAAGGGACCATTTCTATACATGATCTCCCTCCACTTCCCTCTCTTCTGTGCACCCACCAGTTAGTTTGTTTTTTTAACCAAGGTATTTTATGCTCTACAATGTTTTACCCCACACACAGGGAAAGTCTCATTCTGTAGTGTTGTCCACTGAGCACTACTGCTTATCACTAATTCATACTATGTAAATTGCTTTCCTCATATACCCAAGAGCTGTTGCAAATGATCTGAATATCACTGTATGCAATTGTGTGTGTGTGTAACTTTCTCAGGTTGTTTGGATGACACTTATATGCCTTCTCTGTATCCTACTGAAAAAAAACCAATAACAATTATACAAAAAACAAAAATCCTGTTCTTATTCTTTTATCTACAGTAGATTAAATATACTGACATGGCTGTGATTGGCCAGTGCAGCATGTGACCCAGCCTCTATATATAAGCTGGAGTTGCGTAGCGCCGCACGGACAGTGCAGAGAGAGGATGCTGCCGCTGTGAGGGACAGCTTAGGAAAGAATTCTGCAAACTAGTACATTAGTGGGGTGCACTTCATATCTGAGAGTCAAATAGAAGCGTCAAATACCGCGGTTACATCGGAGTTTTAAAAAGTACATTTTTTGGGTGCTAAATAGTACATTAGTGGGGTGCACTTCATATCTGAGAGTCAAATAGAATCGTCAAATTCTTGCAGCGCACTTGTAAAAATTCTAATTTTCTGGGTGCTAATCTGCTAAATAGTACATTTTGGGGCATGCACTTCATATCTGAGAGTCAAATAGAAGCGTCTAAAGACAAATAAATGTTGCCTGTGATGCAGATAATATAGAAGGCAAGACTGAGACAAATCATTCGGGTTACGTTTGCCTGTTGACATGTTAATTATCTTAGACCATTAAAATTCAATAAATTAAAAAACACACTAAGTGTCATACAAAAATATGTATTATAGACAAGTTAAAAACAAGACTACAAGTCATGCTATAACAAAATTAAACAAGTTTTAAAATATGTATGGGCCAACCAGTGGCTGTAAAAACAAAGTTTTTCTGGTTACATTCATGACTACACACTCTAGTGAACAGGACCTTCATGTAGTGTGTTCTTTTTTTTTTAAAATCATACAGAATCCTTTCATGTGCTTTTCAGATGTCATATAGAAACATAGAAACATAGAATGTGATGGCAGATAAGAACCATTCGGCCCATCTAGTCTGCCCAATTTTCTAAATACTTTCATTAGTCCCTAGTCTTATCTTATAGTTAGGATAGCCTTATGCCTATCCCACGCATGCTTAAACTCCTTTACTGTGTTAACCTCTACCACTTCAATAGAAACATAGAATATAATATTGTTAATTACCAATTTTTGTTTAGCCTGATTTTTTTTTTAAAGTGAAAAATAAGTGTTATTGTGATCGCTTCATATACAGAAGCATTAATATACATTTCTATATTGTGTAAAGACACAACTACAAAGTTAAAAACCAAACACCAAAAATGTCAGACAATCTACGTGTGTGTGATACAATAATTCTACATCTTAAAAATGCAATAACCCACAGAAGATGGGCGAGAATTTTTTTTGCAAATGGAACTTTGATTCGAATTTACTACATCGGTCACTTGTAATATTGTTTCACACCTACAACACTTGTTACACAGATCTAAGTGATAGAAATCAGATTGATATTTTCTACACTAGAAACTACCAAATAACAAGCTGCTATATTTAAACCAGTTATCAATAGCTGAGAGGTACTTAAACAATATTGTAATTCTGGGGCAATACCCTCACAAGTCAAACTGAGAGGTCAGTTTATAGGGAAAACTGTTCCCCTGATACAATTCTAAAACAATTTCCATATGTCCTTTGCAGACTTTACATGCTGGAAAAACACAGGTGCCAACTGCTGTGGCTTTCTGCAGTGTGCATACCATAGAAACATAGAATGTGACGGCAGATAAGAACCATTCAGCCCATCTAGTCTGCCCAATACCGGCAAGGAGGGCAGGGTTGAGGAGTGGATGGAAGATGATGTGGAGGATGATGAGGTCCTAGACCCCACATGGAATCAAGGTCATGTGAGTGACATATGCAGTTTGGAGGAAGAGGCGCTGGTCGCACAGAGGCACCAGCACAGCATAAGAGGGAGCAGGGTGCAAACGCGGAGCAGCCGTGCCCTAGCGCTCGTCGGCATGTATTATCTTTAGAATTCCCACAGTTATCCAAGTAACAGTTGAAGCGATAAAAAGAACCATAACAGATTTAACGAGCCATTCGCAGTTTTTTCAGTCCGGTAACCGGGACCTATACACTGTCTGGGCGGCGGTCGGGTGACCGGGACCCAGTATGCCTGATGTAGAAGTTAGGAGTCACAGTGTGGAATGGATTAGCAGGGTCTGGTGCAGGGTAACCGCATGCCCCCTGGTGTTGAGCACCAGCGTTTGTGCGGCCACATACCAGGACCCTAATGCAGCTTCAGTAAAAAGAGTAATGGATACCAGAAGCCATCACCAGACTGATCCGTAACTTGGAACAGGATGTGACATTCACTGTAGTGGCTATGTGCGCTTTCAGCATTCTCACCCTGCTCGCCTGTCTGTGCTGCAGCGTGACTTTGGCCTTTCCCGCTCACTGCCTCATATGCGACGTGCCCACAAAGTGGAACTCCATCTTGCACATGCTGGAGAGACTGTTTGAGCAGCATCAGGCGATAGTGGAGTTTCAGCTGCAGCACGCACGGGTCAGTGGTTCTTCACCAGACTTCCCTCCAATTGATCAGAGTTAAAGGATTTCAAGTGGACTCATTACAATTACAGGGCCTCTAAAGAGTCCTGTATTGTTATTTGTCGTTACTACCTTCATGCTTCGGGAATGAGTCATTTGTGCTGCCTGCTGCCTTCTTTTCATGTGGTAGCCATTTGTCAGGGTCCCTGTATGGAATCGAACCCTGATTCCCCATTACCCATGGTCACCATGGTAGGTGCAGTCAATGGCATCGAAAGTTGATATGGATTGACATACGAATGCGTCATCTCCTTCTCGTTGGGGAGCACATTGAAAAAGTGCTCTAGCATGACAAGCTGGGTGATCTCCTCCGGGAACTTGGCTTGATGGGAGTTGAGCCAGTTCTGGGTGGCCCTTGTGGTGCCATGGTGTATACCTAGATATATCAGAGCTGCTGCAGAAAGTGCGGGCCGTCTGTGCGCGCTTTTGGCATTCTCACCCTGCTGCTGCTCACCTGTCTTCGCTGCAGCATAACTTTGGCCTTCCCGCTCACCGCCTCATGAGACTGTGCGAGCAGCAGCAGGCGATAGTGGAGTTTCAGATGCAGCACACATGGGTCATTCGCTCTGCGGAACAGTTTTCTTTTTTTATGTGTCCCAATATTTGGGGGGCTACCCCAATTAAAATACACAAAATATATATATAAATAAACAGTGTTGGCTACCTCCTCCTCCTCCATAGCTGCTTCCACCTACACTGCCATGGTCACAGCCAAACTAGTCTAAACTATGTACACAATAGCAGAGGTTTGTGAAGGCCTTTTCTCCATGCATCAGGAGTTGAGCATTTCTTCATGCATCAGGACTGCAAGAAATGCACCACAGGCCGTAAATGTTTCTTTTTTTATATGTCCTAATATTTTGGGGGCTACCCCAATTAAAATAAAAAATATATATTTATAAAAAACAGTGTTGGCTTCCTCCTCCTCCTCCACCGCCGCTTCCACCTACACTGCCACGGTCATCGCCTCCTCAACCTATGGGTCAACCTATTTTTAATTTTTATGTTATTTTAAGTGATTTCCCTATCCACATTTGTTTGCAGGGCACTTGTCCTACTCTTACCCCCATTTTACTTCCTTTTGCAGCCCTCTAGCCCTTTCCAGGAGTTTTTTAGGGGCATTTTTGTGGCCAAAAGTTCGGGTCCCCATTGACTTCAACAGGGTTAGGGTTCGGGGTCAAGTTCGATAACGAACCTGGACTTTTTTTCAAAGTTTGTCCGAACCCGCCGGACCCGAACATCCAGGTGTCCGCTCAACTCTATTCATGTATAGTTCCATTTTCCTCAAATAACACTATCCTAGATACCAGTTATTGAATTAATTATGATGATGTAATACTAGTTCGCTACTACTATATATATATATATATGACATCTAACCTGAGGACAGCCAAATGTGATTTCAAGTGATGAATTTTTTAATTACAATTCAAATGTGAAATAATATAAAGAAGTTAATGGTATTCCTAATAAGACATTCAGGGCAAAGGGCCTGTTTCATACTATAGTACATTGATCTGAACTGTATGAATGTCTAAGGACATTGATTTATGAGACTAACTAAGGCCTGGATTTGTCTGGTTAAAGAATACTGAATATAAATATAACACAGCTGGCAATTCAAGGTAACATATTTCAGTTAGAATTTGTTTGAGCTGTTCATGTGATTACAGTGGAGTTTCTCTTAAAGCAGATATGTAACCTGTCTTCGTTTGTTCCACTTAATTTAATGTTCTCTACAACATCTAAAGGTTTCCTTTCATTTTTTTATATATTTAATTCTCTTATTTAAAGGAACACTATAGTCACCTAAATTACTTTAGCTAAATAAAGCAGTTTTAGTGTATAGATCATTCCCCTGCAATTTCACTGCTCAATTCACTGTCATTTAGGAGTTAAATCACTTTGTTTCTGTTTATGCAGCCCTAGCCACACCTCCCCTGGCTATGATTGACACAGCCTGCATGAAAAAAAAACTGGTTTCACTTTCAAACAGATGTAATTTACCTTAAATAATTGTATCTCAATCTCTAAATTGAACTTTAATCACATACAGGAGGCTCTTGCAGGGTCTAGCAAGCTATTAACATAGCAGGGGATAAGAAAATCTTAATTAAACAGAACTTGCAATAAAGAAAGCCTAAATAGGGCTCTCTTTACAGGAAGTGTTTATGGAAGGCTGTGCAAGTCACATGCAGGGAGGTGTGACTAGTGTTCATAAACAAAGGGATTTAACTCCTAAATGGCAGAGGATTGAGCAGTGCGGCTGCAGGGGCATGTTCTATACTCCAAAACTGCTTCATTAAGCCAAAGTTGTCCAGATGACTATAGTGTCCCTTTAATGTTTTAACTTTTGCCAATGCTTAAATGAAGTGATATTAAAGTGGTACAGCCAAAAAGTCATTAGTAATAATTCTTAAAATATTAAAAATCACTAATAGGAAAGCCCAAAGTTATTCATGATTTTAAACTGGAATGCCTCAGAATTCTACATAATTTCTTAATTAAACTCTGTAGTTTAAGACTATCCTGCCCAATCCAGAACATGTTGCACAACAAATAAGTATAGAGCAAGTAGGGATGGTGCAAAGCTTTCAGGCTTCAAGAATGTTTTACAGTAGTTCATATATTTTGTATCCATTTTATGTAGTAGGAATAAATCTAATATTGACTTTCTTCCAATAAATAAAATGTGCCACAGGATTTACGTCTACATGCAAAGTCCAAAATTCATAGCCCCACGAGTTGCTAATTACCCTCCATCAATTTTGAGTGGTATGGATGGTAATAAATAAAATATTAAGGGAGAACCTGTTATTGCTCTTCCTGTATACCTCACACCCACTGCTGCTGAGTAGTCTACTAAACAGATGAGCACATGCCCCCTGCTTTTTTCCCTTTGACAGAAGGATGTGGGCAATATATAATAGTGGGGGAAGATCCAATTGGGTTTTCTGAATACACGCCATTAATGTCACGTCAGTAGCAGGTTAGCCTTAATATGTATGTCCTATGAACCTCCAAAACATGAAGAGGTTCACAGGCTCTGTTTCCAGTAAGATGCCATGGAAAAGATAGATTCCTAGCAATCCTCAAATACACAATAACACAAAAATAAAATTCAGCACCAAAGCAAGATGATAATAGCCCACAAGCAGCTCAAACTCCAATATGGAGTTTCTCGTTTCCGATGAGAAAACTGTATAAAAACAGCGGGTTAGGTGCAGCACTTCAGTAATCCTTGACAAGGTATATGTGGAGAGAACCAGAGAAGAAATAATAGTATTTTAAAACTTTTGTTGTGATAGGTAAGATGAAAGATGTGCACTCAGACTTTTCGGGAGTTTGTATACAGTTCCAGTGTATGCACCTGGGTGGAATAACCCCTGCCTATGGATCAAGCGCAGAGGTAATTCTTCAAATAATAGGTGTAGTAGGGGGTATCCTCATAAAAAATAAACAAATAAAAATCGTATATGGTGAAGTATGTTGAACTATGGAGCAAGGGTAGGTAAAAGCTATAAAATGTACACTCGTGTAATGGAGCCGTAAAACCTGGCTCCTCTGATAGCGCTCGAAGTAGTATGATCCCCATGCAAGGATACAGGTGTAAATATAAATTCTTCCGTCCGTGTATATTTGGAGATAAACAAACAGAACCACAATAGTGTACACCGTAAAAGGGAGTGCAAAAAGAAATAAATAAGTTAAACCTACTCACATGCTAAAGAGCAAATTCCGGTTTGCTCAATCCAAAGCGCTTGGGTGGTATAATCCCCACCAGGGATATAGCTCCAAACAATCCAACAGCAGCAATGTTAGGTCCAATTAAAAAAGTACTTTAATATTAAAAAAGAAAAGTAATGCAGTATATAATAAGATACAATAATGATAAAGTTATAAACAATACACTTAACGTGTTTCTCCTTGGATAGGCTTTATCAAAAATGTTTTTTTTTTTCAAATGCATTGATTCAATGCATGTCTATGAGGATATGATGATTGGCCAGGGCTGCATTTAGCAGATCCATGGAGCGCTTGAAATAAGGTGCATTTTAACCCTTTCTAAGGGGACAAGGGGGGAAGACAAGCCACCTAGATGGTGGTTTTAACACTATAAGGTCTGGAATACATGTTCCTTTATTACCATCAGAGCCCTTACAAATACCTATACGCTGGCTATTTGACAATTTTTATTTATCTATGTTTCACACACATTCTCTATATGAGAAAAATAAATGTGAGAATGCAAAGTGCACGTTTAGCTACTTTTGCCTAACATTTAAAATTCACATTGAATTACATAGAATCCCTACTTTAGTACATAACTTTCCTGTGTTAAAAGGTTACTCCTGGCATCATCACCACCACTACTACTGTAGGCGTAATCCTGACCCAGTTGATAAGTAAGAATATGGATACAGTATCCCAAATCATATGCTTATACTGTTGCTAATTTGTTATAAACATTATTTTTTATTGATTTCATTTAAACATGTCCCATTCCTTTGCTGCAAAACAGTATATCGGCACAAAGAGTCACACAGAATTATGAAGGACCCCATACAGTGCAATCAATGCATTTCGTATAAACAAACTTACTTCCTTTAGCTCAAAGATTGTTACACTGTGGCAAGGTTTTATTGCAAAGGGCTAATTACTAAAACAGAAAAAGTTGGAGACTAGCCCAGTTTTTTAACAGTATATATACATAAATAATCAGTTTGATTACCAAATACATATGTTCAATAAATCAAAACTACAAAGTAAAACACAAAAAAAAATCAATGGAAAAAAAAATCTAATGAAAAACTTAACAATAATCCGACACAAATAATCAGGAAAACTTATCAAGTTTACTGAAGGAGTTAACCCCTTCATTATCCCAATTTATACATGTAGATACATTGTATCTATATTCTTACATATCAGAGAGCATGGTAGTGTACAACTCCAGTTAATTTCTACAGGAGGATAATGATTGGTTATATATTAGTCTGCAGTTAGTGTAGCATTCATTGGGAATACAATAACCTACAATTAAGGCATGAATGATTTTCTATCACATCATTGGCCAAATACTCTGGTCCAGTACCCCTGTAAGTGGGCAAATGGTTTAGTAATGGTTTTCCCCTTTTACCTGGTCCCTGCCAGGATCCTATGTTCCCTTGTGGTCCAGTGATGCTTTTCCTGTTTCCGCACCCCTCTGATTTTGATCATGTTGTACAGAAGGTTACATACAGCTACATCTATAGGAAAAGTATTTATTTCGTAGTTGCCTATGGACCAT